CTTTTTTCCCACCTTTTCCATCACAACTCCGGCTCGCCATTTCTCCTTTTCACCATATACCCTCGCCCACACCGACTGTCCCACCATAAACTTTGCTAGTCCCTCCTCCTCCCGTTCTCTCCTCGGACCCTCAGACTCTGGCCTCAGAGCATCTAACCCAATCCTCGTTCTGCGCCCTAAAAACTTCTCTGCTGGAGACAAATCCTCTCCCCTCCTACTATTATTATAATACATCACCGATGTCCATACTTCTCCTTTACCATACTTTGCCTTTCGTAACCAATCTTTCACCAACCCCACCATCCGCTCTGCCTGCCCATTGGAGCTTGGGTGGTATGGAGGAGATAAAATATGCCGTATCCTATTTTCTTTGCAAAATTTCGCAAACTCTGCACTACTAAACGCTGGTCCACCGTCGGACACGATTGATTTAGCCACTCCAAACTTTGCCCACAAATTCTTCAATTTTCTGACCACTACTTGCGTTGTCAACCCTCTTACAACTTCAAACTCCACCCATTTAGAAAATGCATCAACCACTAGAAAATAATCCTTTTTTTCGTACTCGAAGAAATCGACATGAACCCTCTCCCATGGCTCAGTTGTTTTCGGCCAAGTCCCTTCTCTATCTCTTGCTGGCATCCTGGCCCAAGTATTGCATACTACACATTGTCTTGCTAGTTCCTCAATCTCCACATTCATCCTCGGCCACCATACATATTCTCGTCCCCATTGTTTCATACGCTCCATTCCCTGATGACCTGCATGCAACATTGTTAAAACCATTCCTCTCAACTTCCCAGGTATCACTGCCCTATTTCCCCGGACTACACATTCGTCCATCACCGTCAATTCTCCTCCAACATTTTTATAAGCTCTATCTCCTTCTTTCCACGGCTTCCGGCCCATTATACATTCTTTTATTCGACTCAAATCCCTATCTTTTTGCGTCTCTTTCCGAATCTCCTCCCACGTTACCGGACCTCCCTTCATCATTCTCGATACCACCATAACCATCGCTACCTCCTTCTTACACATCTCCTCTGTATTACCTTCTTCCACATCCTCCCCTGCTCCGCATCTCGACATTATGTCCGGCAAATAATTTTCTCGGCCTCTACGATATCTCATCTCCATGTCAAAACTACCCACCATCAATAACCACCTCTGCAACCTCGGCGACATCATCAACTCCTTGTTATCCTTCCGGAATAAATGAATCAACGGCTTATGATCCGTATAGACTACAAAACGACGCCCAATCAAATACTCCCGACACTTTGTCAATCCGAAAATTACAGCTAATGCCTCTTGCCCAATTACCGAATATCTCGTCTCCGCGGCCCTAAAAATTCTAGAAAAAAATAACACCGGTCTCTCCAGCTCTTCTATACGATGCAATAACGCTCCTCCTACTCCCCTTTGAGACGCATCTACCGCCAATATCACTTCCAGTTCATTATTAAAACACACTAAGACGGGCTCTTTTCCAATCCGGCACTTCAACTCCTCAAACGCCTCCTCCTGTTCATCTCCCCAATCAAATCTCTCTCCCTTTTTCAACAACTGGTACAAAGGTGCCGCTATCTCCGCAAAATTCTCTACAAACCTGTGATAATAGTTAACCATTCCCAGAAAAGACTGTATTTCCGACTTGCATTTCGGCCTCAACATGTTTGCAATACCCACCATATTCTTATCCAAAGGTCTAACCTCTACTCCAATAATCCGATGACCCAAATAAACAACCTCCATTACTCCAAACACACTTTTCTCTCTACTAGCACGCAATCCCTTCTCCTTGATTTTCCAAAATACCTCCTCCAGCCTCCTATTATGCTCCTCCTGCGTAATACCTGTTATCAAGACATCGTCCATATAATAAAACACTCCCTCCAAACCCTGAAAAACGGCCGCCATTGTCCTCTGAAATATGGGTGCCGAAACACTCAACCCAAACGGCAATCTCTTAAACGCAAATAGTCCCTTGGGCGTAGTTATGGTCAGCCACTTCTGCATCTCCTTCCTTACCTTCAACTGCAAATACGCATTAGAAAAATCCACCTTCGAAAAATATAAACTCCCCTTCAAATTCGCCAATATCTCCTCTATCCTCGGTAACGGATATTTTACTTCCACTACCCACGGATTCAATGTTACTCGGAAATCTGCACATAATCTCAACTTCCCATTAGCCTTTTTCACCGGTACTAAAGGTGTCGCCCACTCGCTATATTCGACCGGACATACAATATCTTCCTTTACCCATCTATCCAACTCTTGCTCTACCTCTCGCCTCCATTCAAAAGGTACACGACGTACAGCACAATACTTCGGCACACTTCCCTCCTTCATCCGAATCTCCACCTCATAACCCTTCAAACAACCCAACTCTTCCTCAAATATTTCTCCATACCTCTCCACTAACTTCTCCACCTCCTTTTGGACCTCCTTTATTCCCTCTCCACACCCCCACAAATTTTTCGCAACTCCTTGTTCTACAAAATTCTCTCCCTTCTTCTCACTAACCAGCGGCCTCAATACTCCATATCTACTGTCTTGGACATTTCCTATTTCTCCATCTACATAAATCGGACCTCTCCCCAACATATATTCTCTCGCATTCTCTTCGCTTTTCCCCCAAAACATGGATCTTCCATCGTCTACTTCAATATTATCTAGGCCCTCCATCCATTCCAAATTCCCTCTCGACATTCTCTTCTCTTCATTCACTCGGACCATATTTATCAAGTCTTCCCGAATATCTTCTTCGATCGCCACAAATACTCTCCATCGGGCAAATACTCCCCAGAATCCATACCTCGGCCCTACATTTGTAATCCAATCCCATCCCATCACCGGCTTAACGTCTCGGTTAATTATCCATAAGTCCAACATTTTACATCCTTCTCTTCCTACCTCCCCAATATGCACTCTTCCCATCATCTCCATCTCCGATCCATCAAACTGCCTTACTTGCATAACGTCTCTAATTATATTACTACCCGGCCAAAGTCTTCTAAAATCCTCATATCCCATCACCGAAATAGCTGCTCCGGTATCAAATAACATAGATACCATCTTCCCGTTGATATCGAACCATACCCTTGGACTCGGCAGATACATTAACTCCCTTTGAACCTCCTGCTGCAACATTTTAACTCTCAACTCTTTCTTGCCTCCTCCTAACGCCACGGTCATTATTTTACTCTCCTTCCCATCATATAGTCAATCTTTATTACAATCTCTGGCCCAATGTCCCCTTTCTCGGCACTTGAAACACGTCATCTCCTCTCCAATATCCTTTCCTTCTTTTCCAACTATCTCCGTCATACTCCTCATATTCACGACCCCCGACGACTCTCCTCTCTGTGGAAAACCTGCCCTTGTTTCCACCTTTCCCACTCGGCAATCCTTTAACACATGTCCAAATCTTCCACAACCCGTGCAACGTATTCTCTCTGCTCTGCCCGGACAATATGTCGAAATATGTCCCATCTCCCCACACGCAAAACATTTGACATCTCTACAATTCACCGCAATATGACCCATCTCCCCACATTTATAACATCTACCATTCCGACCTCTCTGTCCCCCACTGTTGAACGGCCTTGGCATATCTTGACGTCCACGGTATACATCCAAATGTCTGTCATCTATCCTCTCGTTCTTTAACCGGTCAATTTCTTCATTATTGACCCAACCCTTCATTATTTCTTGAACCGGTAACCACGTCACTCTCCCCAACCTATCATCCTCTCCATTATGCCCCTCTACCAACAACGATTGCCCACGAATCCTAATACTCCTTTCTCTTCGCATTCTCCTTCCAAAATATAAACTACACAACCATATCATCAACACTACCACCGCTCCCAATACATTATATTGCAACTCCACATATTTTGTAATTTTAAAACCCTTCATTAAAATATTTAAGTATTTAAATTTTTCCTAATTTATTTCTCTAACAACACTAAATTTTATAAAATATTCACAAAAAATTAATAATTAATTTCACCAAAAATATCTTAACTACTTGTAATGTCAGACAATAAGATAAAATCAATAAGGTAAAAACTCCAATAATACACATATACATTTATCAATTTCAAAAAAAAATCAATACCTTCCGCTAATCTTTAATCTCTTACGTGTATTGACGTCTTTTGAAAAAAAAAATCGGCAGCACTTTCGTGTAACTTGCTTTCTAATAAACTTTTTTGGAATTTCTTTCTACTTTTTCAGTAAATTTTCGATTTTCGTCTAATAGATTTATATAACCAAAAATTTGGGCAGCACTTCCGTGTACTCTACTTTTTTAGTAAATTTTCGATTTTCGTCTAATAGATTTATATAACCAAAAATTTGGGCAGCACTTCCGTGTACTCTACTTTTTTAGTAAATTTTCGATTTTCGTCTAATAGATTTATATAGCAAAAATTTGGGCAGCACTTCCGTGTACTTTACGTCTTTTGAAAATTTTCACTCCACAGTCACCTCTTTTGACGGTACTTGTTCTTGACGGTCTTTCAACCCAAACGGTCCCTTATTACACACGGTACTTGTCCTTGACGGTACTTGTTCTTGACGGTACTTGCTCTTGACGGTACTTGCTCTTGACGGTACTTGTTCTTGACGGTACTTGTTCTTGACGGTTCTTCAAATTGACGATCTTATCCACCACAACGCTCCACAAAAATGTTTTCCCAAAAATAATTTATAAAAATAATTGTTTTTACTTTATTTTTCTGGTCACGGCACCAACTATCACGTTGTGCCGTATAAGTCCGAATAGAAAGCAAAACTCCGAGTATAATAATTTTATTGAATTTCCCACACAAAAAAATGAATAATTTTATTTCAAAATTTACTATTACAACCAAAAAAAAATATATTAAAAACAAAAATAAAATAGTTAATAATAATTTTTACAATATTTCGCTTCCCTTTTATAGGGAAGCGCATAAAATACAATTTCATTATGATTCAACAAAACTTAATTTTTATATCTAAAAATAAAATAAAACAAAATATTAAAATACGGTCTAATAATGAACCGGCACAATTTATTTATTAATGTTCACGCAATAAATATTATCAAATATGTCACTCATTTATGACACAAACCACTTTGGGTAATTTATTATTTTAAATAATTTTGGCTAACCAAAATATTTTGACATTTATAAGATATACCCAAACGTAGGAGGGAAGAAAATGATCTTGATACACTCATTTATATACCCAAAGACCATATAAAATCACTACCTAGTACAACTAATATAATCTATTAAGATTTAAATATTTTTTATTATAGATTTAGATATATCAAGTATTACATTTAATAAAAATGATGATAGTCAACAAAATGAACATACCAAATCACTAATTAATATAGAAAATCAAAATTTTAATGATGAACTTGATATCATAAGCAACAATTTACCACCCACATCAGGTATTTTATAATGACCTTATTTAAATGAATCACTAATTAATATAGAAAATCAAAATTTTAATGATGAATTTGATACCATAAGCAACAATTTACCACCCACATCAGGTATTTTATAATGACCTTATTTAAATGAATCACCAATTAATATAGAAAATCAGAATTTTAATGATGAACTTGATACCACAAGCAACAATTTACCACTCACCTCAGGTATTTTATGAACTTATATGACCTTATTTAAATGTATTCATTTAAATTTTAGAAATACCTAGATACTCTATAAAAAATTATGATAAAAATAAGCTAAATACACTTGATCACTTCAAATCTCTACCTAGTAAAAGTAATGTTAACTATTACCTTTAAATATTTATATCATAATTTTAGGTATATCAAGTATCACATTGAAGAAGAATGATAGTAGTCAACAAAATATTATAGGCTGTATCAATTTAGAATTTAAAGGTTATCTAATATGTTGTTTTATTTTAATTTATTTTTATAGGAATATCTCAATTAATATTCACACCAAGGGGTAAAAAAAATAGTGATAACAAACAAAAAAATACACTAAGTCACAACAAATCACTATCTAATAAATGTAATGTAATCAATTACTTATTAATATTTACATTAAAATTTTAGATATATAAAAAATCTAGGGAGAATTTAAATGGAAATGAAGTTCCACTCATGTCAGGTATTAGTCTTATTTAAATTATATTTATTTAAAATCTTAGCAATTCCCACATACTCCAGAAAACTAAAGGATAATAGACAACCAATTATACTAGATCATTTAGAACCATCACCTACTACAAGTGATATAGTCTATTACTTTATACTTATAATAATCAAAAGTTGGTTCCAAAGCTAACATGTCATCTATGATTATTAGCCTAGGTTTCTCAATATTAATTTTAAACATCTATCATATATTGGTAAAAAAATATTGCCAACACAATTTTGATTTTTTCACTTTGAAGGATATCGACTTAAATTTACAGTTTAAAAAAAACATTTATTTTTTAATCTATAGTTTTAATGTGTTTACTAATTATAAAATATATCATTTATAATTAAGGCAATATAATATTTATAATTAAAGCAATTTATGTGTAATACTAATATTTATAATTAAGGCAATATAATATTTATAATTAAAGCAATATAATATTTATAATTAAAGCAATATAATATTTATAATTAAAGCAATATAATATTTATAATTAAATCAATATAATATTTATATTTTAAATAATCGCTTTTTATTTGTAAATAACTTCTAAAAGTATAATAAAATGAAACGTATATCAATAAAATTGTGTCAATGTGTTATTTTAATTAAAATTAGTGGCTCAATTTTAGCCGATATGGCTAACTCAATATATTAGCCAGAAAATTTTGCTCATGGAGATACAAGTTTTATATTATTCGAGAAATCTCTAGGCTTGAACAATATTTTTTGGCAAAAATATTGAGTTAGCTGTTTATAAAAATCAGCTCAAGTCGAGCCGTTTAACAACACTAATTAAAATAATTAATAATTTTAGGACTTTTATATTATAAGAAAAACCAATATGATTTTTAAGATAAACCCGGCCGAAGGCCGGGCAAAAGGGCCGAAGGCCCGTAAAAGGGGGTCTAGGGGGCGAAGCCCCCAGGCTTTTATATATGGACCCCCTCTAAGGAAAATTCCTAGCTACGCCACTGGGTATCATTGTCTCCTGATACAAAACGTGAATTGTATACAACTGTTAATATAGTCGTGGTACAACGTAAAATGTACCATCCATATATATTGTATCATTATCACACGTTTCTATGAGCTTTAACATGCTACATGTCCCAAATACCAATAGTTTATTATTATTATCATCATTAATTAAAAATATATCACCCCTATTTGTGGTGATATATTCGGGCAATAAAACTATGCTATCTACGGATTGTGGCAAAGGTGGCCGATTTTTTTGTAATAATCGATCGATGGTACTTTTTAACGAAATAAATGAGGGCATCGCCTCCGGATAGAAATTTATATTTGGGGTTTCCGAAAATCTTTTATTTATGGTTTTCTCATAAATATTGTGCCTTGTTTCTAAAGGATTTTCGGCAACTATATCTTCTAGAACCTCATGAGTTCTTAACTTTTCAAAAATACCAATTTCATTTTGATGTTCATGCAAACCAGAAGTAATGTATATTACATCGAATTTGCATGAAGCCTTGCAGCCAACTTTCCTGCAACGATAAGGTATTTTATTATCTTTTTGAAAATCCTGTCGATACAAATAATCTTGAAAAGCGGTTTTCCTTTTTGAGATTTTACAAACCGAGGATCTTAATAAATATAAAAATCATATATCAATAAGGAACTCTAATATTTATGAAAAGATCAGACAGAAACAGATACTTAAAAAAAAATAGAACAAATAGATAATTATTGATTTCTTATTTATCTTTAAAGAAGATGTGTTAATATTTTTTAATCATTCCAGGGCTATGTAAAAAAATTATTAAAAAATTACTAAGCTATATTAAATATCGAATGTTATTATATTATGTGACATTCTGTATTTAATTTTAATAAATAAATAGCTTTTTATAAACATATTTTTACCACTTATATTTTGATGTAAATCTATTAACACTTGAGGTACTTCTAAAGGGAGATCATTATCACCTATAAATATTATTTAGAAATCGTCAATTTGTGTTAAGGATACTTTCAATACCAACATCTGAATTATTAACTTGATTAGCACCTAAATTACCTTGATTTGATATAAAATTTTGATGAGCTCTGGCAAATCCAGAAGAAGTTTGATGGACTAATGACAAATTTGAAATTTATGTTAATAATATAAAAATAATTACCTTGGTTAGCATCAGGAGTTATGGAAGCTACTAAGTTTTGTTCCAAAGAATGTTGATTGGTAGTAGAGGCTAATGTTAAAACATTGATTTAATGGTAAAATAATATAAAAATAATTACATTGGTTAGGATCAGGAGTTATGGAAACTACTAAGTTTTGTTTAAAGAATGTTGATTGGTAGTAGAGGCTAATGTTAAAACATTGATTTAATGGTAAAATAATATAAAATAATTACCTTGGTTAGGATCAGGAGTTATGGAAACTACTAAGTTTTGTTCTAAAGAATGTTGATTGGTAGTAGAGGCTAATGTTAAAACATTGATTTAATGGTAAAATAATATAAAAATAATTACCTTGGTTAGGATCAGGAGTTATGGAAACTACTAAGTTTTGTTCTAAAGAATGTTGATTGGTAGTAGACGCTAATGTTAAAACATTGATTTAATGGTAAAATAATATAAAAATAATTACCTTGGTTAGGATCAGGAGTTATGGAAACTACTAAGTTTTGTTCTAAAGAATGTTGATTGGTAGTAGTAGAGGCTAATGTTAAAACATTGATTTAATGGTAAAATAATATAAAAATAATTACCTTGGTTAGGATCAGGAGTTATGGAAACTACTAAGTTTTGTTTAAAGAATGTTGATTGGTAGTAGAGGCTAATGTTAAAACATTGATTTAATGGTAAAATAATATAAAAATAATTACCTTGGTTAGCATTAGGAGTTATGGCTGCTACCAAGTTTTGACATTCTAAAGAATGTTGGATGGTGATAATTAAATCGAGACCAATCATTAATTTGGCTCTACTACCACATCTTTTGCGACAAGTAAGGTAAACGGCTTTTTTACCACTTGTATGGGCCAAATATTCATGCCCTTGGTAGCATATATAGTCCTTTTTCTTCTGTATTTGCTGAAAACAAAAATAATAAATATATAAAATGGTTTATTACTTTTATCTAGCTGTTTATATTTAAGATAATTTTTAAGGTTATCAGCTACAGTTGGAATTATATCAAAAATATGGCGGCCATTTTTGTGAATATTTTTGTGAACATTATTGTGAATATTCACATTTTTCGCTATATTAATGCTCGCTATTTAGGTCTCTTACCTATTTTGGCGTGCTTGTTAATTTTTGAAAAACATGAAAAAAATAGTGCACGCTTACCGTGCATTATCATTAGCCTCAAACAAGCTTGTTTTTTATAATGACAAATGGCTTGTTGACCCTATTTATTAGTCCTGAAATAAAAAAAAATTTTCTTGCAATTATATAAAGAATATAAATTAATTAAGTTTTGTACTGTAATTGATATATTTATTTATATATAATTATATTATGACGTATTTTATGAGATAAGTTTTTAACTATTTTTACACTTTTTTTTATTATAAAAGTTTTAGTCATCTATTAATATTTATACACAAAAGGAATTTTTATGTTTTTTTTACTATAAATACATCTTTGTAAATATTTAGTTTATATACATAAATAAAAGTTCATTATTATATTTGAAGTTTATTTTTTTTAGCCAAATACTAATATGTATTCTCCAATACTAATAAATAACAAAGTACTATATATAACAAAAAAGATATATACCTTATAGGTTTTATCTTTTATTTGCTTAACATTTAAAATTAAGTTATGTAAATTAAAATAATAGAAAATTAGCAGAACCATCTTGTCAGTTTATAAATTTGTAAAATACTTAGCTTAAAAAGATTATTATTTTTGGGTATTGGTCTCTGATAAAAATTGTAAATATCAATATTGGTTGTATGGCTTAAAACTTTTTATATAAAAATTACAAATCAAGTAAATAAGTAAAAAAAATGTTTTGCTCCTTTTTTACCAAAATAAATATAATTTTAAGTTTGGGACAAAACAATTAGAATTGAAAAAAATAGGCTATGGTTGAGCTTAAAAAAATAGGCCAGATTGGTTATATTATTTTTAATTAACATATGATAAAATTCAAAATTTATTACAAACCTGCCTTTATTTTATTGGCACTATAAATGTTTTACAATTAATGGGTATTGTAACTATATATAAATGAACAATCTTTTGTGAATATTAATTGCTTGTTTGGAGGTTTTACCCATTTATGGGTTATCATATGAAGCTTCTTTGAGTATCCTTAAAAAAAGATATGCTATAATTTAACTTGTTTTCCATATTTTAGTACATTAATTATTTTCTAATCTCTTATGTTATTTTAATTTTATAAATATTATCACAAATAAAATTAAGGGAAATTTTACACATTCAATAAAGTTAAGAAAAATGATTACTCCAGAAGTATTTTGTAATGATAGATCTACTGGGTCTAACTCTTATACTTTGGCAAGTTGCATTTAAAAAAATTATTAATACTATTATTTAAAATTTAGATATAAGCTATACTTTGACAAGTTGCTTAAAATTTGGATATAAAGTAGATTAAGAAAAATTATTTGTCCAACTCCTATACTATGGTTGTTTTCCCTATTACTCGATTTATTTCTCAAAAAAATAGAAACATTAAAACATATTTTTAAATATAGCGGGTTATCATGTGAAAATGAATTGTCATATGATAAAATGCTATTAATAATCATGGGGTGTTGTTCTAGTATATTTTACTAAATATCACGGGCTTTAGTGCTAGTCACGGCCTTGTTGGACACCGTCAAATCAAATGTTTTGACGTAAAATTTGATCCGTCTATGAATGCATACTAATATTACATCTGTTCATTTTTAATTACTTTTTCTTACATTATAAATATCAAAATATTTCTTTTTACTTATATCCCCTTTTTTAGATAATCCTATTACAGATATATCAGACTAGCTGGTAATTTTAGACTCCGAATTTTTTCAAAATCTATATTTTCTTTGTTAGAGAAGAAATTAGTAAATTTTTCCAAATAACCATTAATACTGTCTTGTTTTCTTTGTTCCTCTCTATCTATAATCATGTGCAGATCTAATGAAAATATAAATATATATCAAAATATATTACGTTACGTTCCAGTGCTTCAGATATTTGAATATTATGTGATTGATGAGCAAAAATTGAATATTTTTTAAAAAATAATAACTAGTAGAGATTTCAGAACACTATCTTCTAGGGAAGACACAGAAACAATCTCTCCCATATTGCACATCTTTGTCATCAGGATATGATTATTATTTAATAGAAATATAATATTGTTGATATGACCGATTAATACTAACCTTTAAATTGTATTTTTTATGTTTATATAAATTGATTTTTTTTTATAAATTGTGAAGATTGATTTTTTTTTAATATAAATTATTATATTAATATGTAAATTGTTTTATATGCATAATATTTTAGTTTTAAAACAGATGTAAAATTTTAAAATAAATTAAATAAAATTAAACTCGTAACTTTGATTTATTCTAAATTAAATAAAATTGAACTTGTAACATTCAAATATTCCTAGAAAACTTTATGGTGGCAGTTCCACTACATATTCGAGGAAATCGTAAATAAATAAATAAATATGAAACAGATTGCCAATAATAATGTTAATATAAATATTGAATTTCCAATATACTCAGGCAATGGCGATCTATTTTTGAGTAGATTAGAAGACATCTTCAAGGACACTCAGATCTCGGACATCGAAAAAGCAGGTTCCTTTACAAGAAGACTACCAGATGAGGTATATATCAAGCTCAAATCGATATGTTCACCTACCGACTTCATCAATCCATCGATATTGATTGAAAAATTTAGGTTATTACACTCGAGGAAATCTACAAGTTCCAACTTATTAGTATTTAACGCAGCTGTACAAGGTAAAAACGAAAGTTACATGAATTGGGTAAGTGGATTATGCATTTTTAAAAATGAATGTTTGCTAAGTTATAGTAGAGTTATTGAAAAAGTGAAAATTTCATCAATCAGCAAAAATATTAGGCAGAAAATTACGTTAAGAGAAAACATTACATTAGCAGAAGTTCTTACTTTAAGAGATGATTTTGAAGAGTTAGAATTTTAAAAAAATATAATTGCTAAAGTTAAAAATATTTCTTTAAACGAAAAAACAGAAGATGATACAACCGTAAAACATGTAGAAAGGTAAAGAGGCAGGAAAACAGAAGAAAATAAACAATTGGTGAGATATGGAGACCATGACGAACGATAAAATTCACAATCTAATTACGATAACAGACAACGATGGACAACAAGAGGCCATGACTTTCAAATAAATAATTATAACCCCAGAAATCAAGGAAATAGTTACAACCCTAGATATCAGAATTATAACGCGAATTATTACAACAACGTCAGAGTAAACTATCCAGGATCGTACAATAATTCTTCGAGATTTGATAATAGCACTAGTTATAATAACAATAACTATAATAATTATAGGTTTGATAATGTTTATAATTACAGATATAACAGACGTTATAACGATTCAAGATTTATTCAAAGACATAACGATAATCATAATATTGGAAATCAAGGAAGAAGTCAAGTATGCAATTGTAAATATCATAACAACGATAATAATCAATCACGATATACAAATAAAGTAAACACTGTAAATATAGAAGAGATAAAAGATGATGATAATGACAAACTTGAAAGAAAAGAATATAATTTATACAATTTAGACATAAACAATATGGATACCGATAATAATTACACAACTAACGATGCATATAAGGTTACGGTATATTTGAACGACATGCCTATTTTGATGCAGATTGATACCGGCTCAAGGTATAGTATCCTACCGATTCATATCGCGAAAAAGATTGGAGTAAAAATCTTAAATAAATCAGATATTAAATTAACTGGTTATGATGGAAACACGATAAATGTATTAGAAACTACCAAAGTCAAGGCAAAATTCGAGGACAAAATTCAAATCTTAACTGCTTATGTAGTCCAGAGTGATAAGATTGCACTGTTAGGAAGGACCTGGATAACAGTTTTTGGGAATATACTAGATAAATTTGTGAATATGGTCGAGGATGATTATGATAATACTATACTAGAATTAATTAAGCAATGCTATTTTAAACTACAAAAAACCAATGCTTCGCAGCTATGTCAAATTACGTTTAAAACACGATGCCACACCGAAAATCATACCGCCAAGGCATATACCATATTCTAGAATTGATTTGATAACTAAAGAACTTCAAAAGTGGATAAACGATAAAATTATTGAACCTGTTGAAGATGTTAGATGGGCTAGTCCTCTCACTCCCGTTTATAAGAGCGATGGCTCACTTCGGCTCTGTGCCGACTTCAAAAATACTACCAACCCTGCTTTACAAGATTTCAAGTACCCTATACCACGCATTAATGACTTAATCGCAAAATTATCTATAGGTAAGAAATTTACCAAGATAGATTTTAAAAACCCGTTTCTCCAAATACATATACACAAAGAATCAAGAGATTTTCTTACAATATCGACACATAAGGGCTATTATATGTTTACGAGACTGCCGTTTGGTTTAAAAACTTCGTCGGCAATATTCCAACAATGGATAACATTTTCGGAGATTTAAAGATGTTATATTCTACATTGACGACTTGTTAATTACAGGTGATAACCATGAGATACATTTGGAGAACATTAAAAAAGTATTCGAAAAGATCATCAAGTATGGATTAAACCCCAATTTCGACAAAAGTTTATTCCTGCAAGATAAAATTGGGACATGATATAGACAAACATGATATACATCCCAACAATGATAAGATAAAAGCTATTTCTAACATGCCGGAACCGAAGACAAAAGATGAATTGACAACTTTTTTAGGGACGGCGAGCAATTATCGAAAATTTTAATGTAATTTTGCTCACATAGCTGATCCCTTATACAAAATGGTTAATAAAGACAAATGGTTATGCGATAGTACACATCAAGAAAGCTTCGACGACCTAAAAAAACTGATAAGTACTCCGCCTACGTTAAATTTTTATAATCCGGATATACCAATAGGCATTGCAACTGATGCTTCAAAGAAAGGTCTAGGCGCAGTCTTATTTCATATTGAAGGTGATGGCAAAGAGAACCCATTGCTTTCGCGTCAAGAGCTTTATTAAAATCAGAGTTTAATTAAACTAATATAGAGTGGGAAGCTTTATCTGTCATATACGCGGTAAAAAAGTTTCAAGAATATTTAATAGGTACGAGATTTACAATAATCACAGATCACAAGCCACTCGTTTATATATTTACGAAGGGACTCAAGGATAATTCATCCATATCAATGCGACTTCAAAAATGGAGTTTGGCTATGGGAGCTTATGACTTTACGATAATTCATAGACCCGGGAAACGAAATGTAGTACCGGATTGTTTGTCAAGATTACCCAAATGAACACAGAAGAAATAGTACAAGAGATAGATGATGAAAAAATTGATGACAAATTTTGGGACTTACCAGTAAATTTTAAAAGAATAGTTCAAGAAACTAGTATTGATATCGAATTAATGGAAGTAATTAACAATATAAAGAATCATGAACAGATAAAGAATAAAATATATAAAAATATGGAAATGGAACTGAGCTTAATTAAAGATTGTCTTTTTAAAGAGAAAGGATCATTATACCGAAAAATATGAGAAAGGAGATATTACAGGAATTACGCAAAGGGCATCTTGGTGCAGGGAAAACGAAATTGTTGGCGAGAGATTATTTGTGGTGGCCTGGTCTAAACGCTGAAGTAGATCAGGAGGTAAAAAGCTGTGATACGTTTAATAAATATGGGGACAATCCTCATAATGTACAAAATCCATGGGAAACAGCTGCAAACGCGACAACCAACAAGATAACAAGCGAAGTGATGTTCAACAGAACCATAAGAACCAGATAATATTTAATCAAACCGCAAGAAGATAAAGTGAATGAATTTAATCGCATTTTATCGTCAAATAGAAATATCATGAATGGTGACAAAGTTTGGTATAAAACCTTCAAGGATAATATATGGGACAAAGGCAAGGTAAAACGTAAAAATGGGAATTTAATATTTGAAGTGGATACAGGAGACAAAATTATTAGAAGACAATTAGACCAAATTAAAAAAAAGGTCTAGGAGTAGCACACCTCTTGATGAAACGACACATTTGAAAACAAATACTGAAAATGCAATACCTTTTACTGTAAGTTTTAGAAGAAATGATGATCAAAATTTAGGAATACAAGAACAGAGTCTTGATAGTCAAAGACCAAGCAGGAATATAATTTTGCCCAAAGAATTTGATAATTTTATAATAAAATAAAGACTAAATATATATATATATATTAAAATATTTTTCTTTTAAATAAACTTTCAATAGCAAAAGTTAATGAAATATACTAATGATGGCAATAAAACTATCAAGAAACGTTGACTGCACGATAAGATTCACATGCAAGAAAAACCTGAGTAGAGATCATTTTTTAAAGGGTGGAATGTTGATTTGACTGATTAATACTAACCTTTAAATTGTTTTTTTTTATGTTTATATAAATTGATTTTTTTTATAAATTGTGAAGATTGATTTTTTTTATATAAATTATTATATTAATATGTAAATTGTTATATAAGCATGATATTTTAGTTTTAAAACAGATGTAAAATTTTAAAATAAATTAAATAAAATTAAACTCGTAACTTTGATTTATTCTAAATTAAATAAAATTGAACTCGTTACATTCAAGTATTCTTAGAAAATTAAATATAAATTGTTTACTAAATGAATCTCTATTCTTTCATCTGATGAGTAGTGCTTCTATTTTTATAAAACATATATTATAGTTAAAAATAATATCTACCTATTTTTTAATGAATTTCTTTGAAACCTTGTTTAGATATGGCTCGATTTGTATAAACAAAATTTATATAACTAGGTGACAACTAAAATTTGTGCATAAATAGTAGTGCCTCTATTTTTAAAAAACATATATTATAGTTACAAATAATATTTATTTATCTTTTGATGAATTTCTTTGAAACCTTATTTAGATATGGCTGAATTTGGATAGCCAAAATTTATATAACTAAGTGACAACTAAAATTTGTGCATATATAGTAGTGTATCTATTTTTATAAAACATATATTAAAGTTAAAAATAATATTTACCTATTTTTGATAAATTTATGATAATAGGACATTTTTTATTGGCGGAAAATAAAAATTGCACGCATCTTTTGCGGCCAAAATACACAAAATATCTTTAAAAAATATTGATCAATATATAAAAAATGTAAATAAATATAGAAAATTAAAAAAAAGAATAGTGTAAAAATTATGCTATTGTTGATAATATATTCCACTTTTTGAGCAAACATTGTAATTAGATAAATGAGCATCTTTTAATTAATATATATATATTTATATGGTCAAACATTTTTTTGAATCTTTTTTTTACCTTTTCTATATGGCAAAAACGTTCAATTCATCCTATATTTTGGGGCAACAAATTTTAGAAATAGGTTTAAAGTCAGAGAATTTTTACTCAATTTTCATTGGACGATCATAACGACGCAAAAATTATTTTATAATAATATTATTTTTTTTGTAAATTTAAATAGATCTAACACCTACATGAACTAGGGGGGGGACATTTTGCTGAGGTGGTTGTGTAGGCATCTAAGAGATTGGGAGATTACGAATTATATTTTTAAATGAAACAGAGTAAAATATATTTCTGTAATATTTTATTCAATATTTTTCTTATTGGCTATTTATTATACATACATAGATTGCTAAACATAAATCAAATTTATATATTACATGCAATGCAATTATAGTTATTGAGTATTTTTACAAAATAAACTTTTCTGCCATATTTTTAAAATATATAAAGGGGGGGGGGATTCTATCAGCAAACTTAAGTTTATTCCAAACAATACACTATAATCATGCATACAGATACAACGTAAAATGAGCAGTAGGTTTATAATTTAACTCATATAGTAAAAATTAATTTTTTCACATTCACAATTTAATTTAGTACATAATTTGTAAAATATGCGAAAAAATTATTATTTAAAATTCGCAATTAATAATGGATGATGGGGGGGGGGTGAATTTTCTATCATATAGATGCTAGGCATAATAATATTGTAGATAATTTTTTTAAATATCGAACAGACTTATTGTACTGATAGTGGATTTACTATGGTAGACGATAATGATAGTTTTTTAATTAATTCATTTAATAGTGCATGTTCCCGTGGAGAATGAGTAATATTTTATATTCATAAAAAAATTATATACATCTTTTAAAAAAAAATACAAGCTAAACAGCCATAGATAGGTATCAAAGATATGGTATGGGAAAAATATGTGGAATCCACAGCATATAGCAAAATAAATCATCATGGACATATTCTATAAATATATTTCTTCTTCTTTATCGTATATTGGCGGTTTTCTAAGTTTACTCAGGTAAGCCAGCTTATCTCCTAATTCCTTTTCTCACTTTTTATGCTTTCCATATTGCCTGTTATTACTTTCATCCACGTCTTCGTTGGCTTTTTTAATTATTACCAACGAAGTGCATCTCTTAACCAAATCATATTACCTTTTTCGTTGAACGTGCCCAAACTACCTCGATCTAATTCTTCTCATCCCCGATAATCACTTCTATAAATTTTTTAATTTCCTTCTAAAAATTAAAAACATTTTATTACACTGAAAAGGTAAATTGTGTAAAAATTTTAAAAATTAAATTAGAATAACGCAATTCATTGCTTATTTTTCTTTCTCTCAGACACCCCACACTGGAAGGATAATAATTAGGCATTTCTAATGTATTTCCGCGGCCTTATAATTCAAAACTTCCAGCTCGATGTTATTTGTATTATTGAACTCAGCAACATTTGTTTCACCAAAAAAATTAATCATCATTTTCTTTTAAAATAATTTTCACAAGTTTAAAAGTATCTTTTTTTCATCACTTAATCCATAAGTTCTTAAAATACGCTTCTTTAAAAATGGGGCATCAGATAGTAAATTTAAATGTGATTTATATTAACAGTGTAGTCATACTATCATATAGGCTATTCCACCTGGTTATGCATGGAACTTTCAATTACTATCTGTTATCTTAATATTTTTTCAGAAGATTTGAGCCATGCACAAACATAATTTTGCATATTTTTCTATTACTTCATAGTGAATCCCTTTCAAGATTCCTTGAGTTTAATATTGCACAAAGACTATCTTTGGTGGCAATTAAGGATAAGGTGTGGCAGGCACACCTAATGTGCCTGGGTTATAACATTTTATTTATTTCATTTAATGATAAACATTTAAAAATTTTTTTACTAACAATCATTGATTTGATTAAAATTCTAATAGGTATCCCATCCTCAAAATCATTTTCAAGATCATTTAATTTTCACTATATTTAATAAATGGTTTGGCCAGTAGCGCCACTAGGGGGAGCACGCCGGGGCTATAGCCCCCTGAAAAATTTGAATAGCCTCCTTAAGCGAAGAAAATTTTTTTCTTAATGGCTCCCTAATATCCCCCTGAACTAAAAATAAATTTTTTGATAGCCCACTGAACGATTTCTTTTATAATTCTATTAAGTATTATATAAAGATTTGATTATATTATTTAAAAATTAATTAGACTATCTAAATTTTTATTAAATTAGTGCTATTTTAATTATTAGATTAGATTAATACGTATAAACTATATTTTATCATTTAAAAATTAATAAAACTATCTAATTATTATTAAATGACTGCAATTTTATTTATTAGATTAGATTAATGCATTTTAAACTATATTCACTATATCAGCTTACAATCAAATTCTGTGTTAAAATCAATGACATATATAATACCTAGACTGACGATTCATTCATTAAAATGCATTTTTAAGCGTCGTTAAAAGTAAATCAGCTGGACCCGCCATTTTGGCAACACATATAGTAATTATTCTCACTACTATTAAATTGATAACTTGTTTTCTTATTATCTCGATGATCCGGTAAATCTTAAATAAAGTTTGCATCAGATTTAGGAATATATTAGGCTCTCGTTTAAAATTTTAATAATGATTAGTGCAACCAAGATGGCGTCTCCAGCTGATTTGCATTGATGTACACTTTTAATGAATGAATCGTCAGTCTAGGCATTAAATATGTCATTGGTTAAAATGGAATATCAATGTCACTCATAGTGTCTTAATATTAATTTAGGATTAACAGTTAAAGCTTAATTGATTTTTTTTATTATTTGAATTATTTTATAACCCTAATCAAATAAATATAATCATTCCTTAATTGAAAATTAACAAATTTAATATTGTAATTAGCCGATTTCAAAATCACTAAACTATATTATTCATCTTTAAATTTAATTACCATGCCTCTTCTTAAAAATATATTCAAGACTCAAATAAGTATAGGAGATTTCTTTATAAAAAGTAAGAAGACATATAGTTTATAATCCTCTATTATATAAAATTGGTTATAAAATATTATGTAAAATGCCACTTTTACAGACGTATTTGACAGTTATAGATATATTACAGTTAATATTTTATAAATTTTACTAATAAATACTTTTGATAATAAATATAAGTAACAATTTGCACTCAATTCTTTAACGCCATCTTAATAATTAAAATTATTATTAAAAATTAAACATCTCATTATTCATCCCACAATGGATGTAATCTTATTAGATATTTTTCTTCTATTTTTTATGTGTTTTTATGAAAGCTATTTTTCTTCTTCCTTGAGAAACACTTTTGAATTAAATTTTTAATACGAGTATATTTTTGATATTATTAAAACTACTATTTCTAAGATATAACAATAATATATAAAATCTTAATTGCTTTCATCATATCATTCTGGTCCTTATTTTAAAGTTACAAAATGTTTTATTTCTAATATGGCATTCTTGCCGTGTAAATAACTCAAGGCTTCACAATATAATTGCATAATAATTTCTTTTAAAGTTTTTTAGTGTTTTTGTTTTATCAATTTATATAACATAATAAATTTTGATAAGGGTTTACATAGTGAGTGTTATGGCTATGACTGCAAATTAACCAGCATCTATTATTTATGTGGTAATTTAAGATTATTACTCCTACTGCTGAGAGCATTCAATTGCATAATTTAGATAAAAAAACCAAAAATGAACATTTTCCAAATAATATTACTACCAAATTTGGTAAATCAAATATTTAGTAAGTGGTCGGATTTGAGCTCGGCATTCGGTCAATTTCAAAATATTTTTTAGGATAATGCTTAACACCTAAATATACACATATAAACCAAAAATGAAGAGATTTTGATCAATAACGCCAGCAACATGTGCCTTACAAATTTTCTACTATTTTTCGATTCTAAACCTACTCATTAATTAAATGTCAAAGAAACCTTATATTTTTAAATTTTTTTTTAGTTTTTCACATGTATTTACACCCAAAT